ACAAGCATGGGTTATTGAAGATCAATTCTAACCCGGATCTTCACAGGTCCGATTGTGACATGAAGTAACATATGAAATGAAAGAAAGTGAAAAGGAGGGTTAATTGCAAGCTTATGGATGTATCAAAAGTGATTAAGAGTTATCTGATAGAACAATTTGAATGCCTACAACCAAAGCTTAGACGTAGTTATCGGCCATGAAGCATAGTTTTCAAACACTTTTGGATAATGTTATTTCATCAAATATTTTAGGAGTATGAAGCTTTGAATGACCTTATCATTGAAATTTAGCTCTATTCCTATACTGTATTCAACATTAGACACCAAATGATTTGTTTGGATTTCATATCAGTACAAATTTAGTCCTCCACTAAGTATATGTAGTAAAAACTACAATGGCCGCCATTTTGGCGGCCATTTTGAATTCTGGGTAATATAAAAATCCCTAATAATATGCCGTCACTCTAGAAGTAAAGAGAAAACAAAAACAACTTGTTTTAGTAACAAAAATAATGTTATCTGCCATTAAATAAATCACCCTCACACATTTCCATGAAAAGTCTGAGAAATGCTAAAATACCCCTGTCTCAAAGAAAAAGCTGTAAAACATTAAATTACCACGATATGGCCAACCAAATGACTTGTTTTGTGCCCAAGCCATCACTCTAGGAGAAACAAGCGTCCAAACACATCAAAAGTATCAACTTTGGATGTAAATGGAAACATTCGGTGTACATTTTTATGTAGATTTAAGTGCCCAGAAGGCAAAACACGACAAAACAAAATGGCGGCCATAATGGCGGCCATTTTGATTTGTTTTTCAAAACAAAATTATGTCAAATAATTTTTACATCCTTTAGCAGTACACAGAAGTCATAATGAAAGTGATCAGATTGATAGTAGTAAAACTATTAATGATTAACTTTGAGATGTTGTCGGGCAGCAAACCAAATGTGACGAAAATGCCCCCAGACCCCCACCACATATAATGGCCTGTAAAAAAAAACTGATACCACAATCTGAGAGTATTACAGGCCTTTTCATGAGCCCAAGACATCATACTAACTGAAAATAGTGTCAAACAAAATCAGTACTGGGGAGGCTACGAAATCCTATTTCTAGGCCCCTTTTGAGATTCTCCTCCTGGACTAATACTCAAACCATGGTTTGGTAGACCTGGTGTACCATCATACCCAAACCATGGCCTGGTAGTCTTGGTGTACCATCAAACCCAAACCATGGCTTATTAGACCTGGTGTACCATCATACCCAAACCATGGCTTGGCTGTCCTGGTGTACCATCATACCCAAACCATGGCTTGGTAGTCCTGGTGTACCATCATACCCAAACCATGGCTTGGTAGTCCTGGTGTACCATCATACCCAAACCATGGCTTGGTAGATCTGGTGTACCATCATACCCAAACAATGGCCTGGTGGTCCTGGTGTACCATCATACCCATACCATGGCTTGGTAGACCTGGTGTACCATCATACCCAAACCATGGCTTGGTAGTACTGGTGTACCATCATACCCAAACCATGGCTTGGCTGTCCTGGTGTACCATCTTACTGTAAAAACTGTACACGACCTTCCACAAACATCAAAGGCGTACTTATAATACTTTTGGAACAAACGAAGTCAGTGAGTTTGTCTTCCGTGACTCGGTCGTGACGCCCACACAACGTCTTATCATAGACAGTATACTCTAACGGAATTCTCTAGTGCTTGAAGGAAAAGCTTTTTAGGGAGGGACAACTTCTTTATTGCAATCCTATTTCTAGGCCCCTTTTGAGATTCTCCTCCTGGACTAATACTCAAACCATGGTTTGGTAGACCTGGTGTACCATCATACCCAAACCATGGCCTGGTAGTCTTGGTGTACCATCAAACCCAAACCATGGCTTATTAGACCTGGTGTACCATCATACCCAAACCATGGCTTGGCTGTCCTGGTGTACCATCATACCCAAACCATGGCTTGGTAGTCCTGGTGTACCATCATACCCAAACCATGGCTTGGTAGTACTGGTGTACCATCATACCCAAACCATGGCTTGGTAGATCTGGTGTACCATCATACCCAAACAATGGCCTGGTGGTCCTGGTGTACCATCATACCCATACCATGGCTTGGTAGACCTGGTGTACCATCATACCCAAACCATGGCTTGGTAGTACTGGTGTACCATCATACCCAAACCATGGCTTGGCTGTCCTGGTGTACCATCTTACTGTAAAAACTGTACACGACCTTCCACAAACATCAAAGGCGTACTTATAATACTTTTGGAACAAACGAAGTCAGTGAGTTTGTCTTCCGTGACTCGGTCGTGACGCCCACACAACGTCTTATCATAGACAGTATACTCTAACGGAATTCTCTAGTGCTTGAAGGAAAAGCTTTTTAGGGAGGGACAACTTCTTTATTGCAATACATGCAAGGTTTGGTGTAGATCCTAACACTGTTAGCAAGCAATTATTAAACAGAATTATGCACAAGGAGAATATATACACTATATATATAATGAAGGATTTGGGGGGTTATACAGTTGACGTACGACATTGATGTACAGTGACGCTTGTTGTGATTACAGATAATGAATGAAGCCAGACGGACTGAACTGTACTGAACTCTATTCACTCAGAATGCAAACTGCAGCATAAGATGTACATAAATCATATTTACATTTATACAACATAAAAAGTATATACAAACGGTATGATAGGTGCAATGTACATCGAGCTAGTTACATATTAAGTTATTGAAATTATTTCTTAAATAAAGCCATAATTATTTTACAAAAATTTGAAAGTTTTCGTAAAGTTACTATCTTCTTGGTGTTAAATAGGATATTCATTTTATTCATATTTGGTTTAATATAATAATACTTCTGAATATATTTTCTCTTTCTAATTCTAATTTGGGACATATAAATAAACAATGAAATTCGTCACCAATATCATCTAGGTTACACATAATACACCTGCTATCATTTACTGGGATTCGTCGCCATCTACCTGTCTCGATTGGAAGGAAATGATTGGAAGTTCGAAATTTTAACAAGTTATTATAATGCAGAAAAATTAGGTATGGTTCAAAATTGAAAGATGGATTTTTTTAAAATACTGTAAGTGGTTGCTTTGGAAGAGGTTCCAATTGCTGACAACTGTAACCGTGAAGGTATAGGAACGTGACTGTCTCGTTGGATAGAAGGCAAACAAATTGCAGTATCGCTAGTTATGGATCCGTAAAGTCAATAACAAAGAAAACCATCTCTTTGACAATATTAGTTACACGGCTATTTACCAGATAGAAGGGGATGGTATCCGTTTGAATCAGAACTGGATTTCAGTGCCAAAAGTTGCAAACTGTCAAGCAATAGGCAATAGGTTCATAACGTTATCATAACAATTATCAGTCTTGTTATTTAAAACAGCTTAAAATCTGTTCATAAAACAAGTGTTTCGGTGATGTTTTTCTTGTTGGAAATAAACAGAAATAGCGTTATTAGTTTTGTTTGAAGTAGTTCTGATATTCATACCCCAATATTAAACCTTTCCAGAAGGGCACGCATTCTGGATCAGTTCCCGAAATGACACGAGTTGGTCACAAATGGATGAGATGACTTATACTTTGGAATAATACTGAGTGCTGTGTTAAACAACAAACCCAACTTAATCTCGCTACAGAACAGCTACATGACGCTGAAACTATTACATCGTAAGTGATTTTGTGAATGAACCACAAACGCATTTTGTGTTTATGATGTCAGTTTAATGGGAACATCTATCTATATTAACGAAAGAAAGAAGAGCAATGTGGAAATGTATACACAGAGGCAAAAACTGCATTACATACGTTCTGATATGATGTACTATGTATCCATGCACATGTCATGATAATTGATGTTAACCTCAGGACTTGGTTAAGGATTAAAGTAGGAATTGACATAATACACTTACTACTATACACGCTCCACCAAAGCCACAGTAATAAAGAGGTGTGATCTGTGAGAGCAATTTCAAGTCAAAGTGTTTATTGTATTTAAGGTATCCGGCCCACATACAAGGGGAATACATGATATACATATATAAATACACACAATAATACAAGGAGAATACATGATATACATATATACATACACACAATAATACAAGGAGAATACATGATATACACATATAAATACACACAATAATACAAGGACTGACTGACTGACTGAGTTTGGTTTTACGCCGCTTTTAGCAATATTCCAGCAACATCACGGCGGGGGACACCAGAAATGGGCTTCACACATTGTACCCATGTGGGGATTCGAACCCGGGTCTTCGGCGTGACGAGTCAACGCTTTAACCACTAGGCTACCCCACCGCCCCTAATACAAGGAGAAAACATGATATACATATATAAATACACACAATAATACAAGGAGAATACATGATATACATACATAAATACACACAATAATACAAGGAGAATACATGATATACATATATAAATACACACAATAATACAAGGAGAATACCAGATAAACATACATAAATACACACAATAATACAAGGAGAATACCAGATATACATATATAAATACACACAATAATACAAGGAGAATACATGATAAACATACATAAATACACACAATAATACAAGGAGAATACATGATATACATATATAAATACACACAATAATACAAGGAGAAAACATGATATACATAAATAAATACACACAATAATACAAGGAGAATACATGATATACATACATAAATACACACAATAATACAAGGAGAATACATGATATACATATATAAATACACACAATAATACAAGGAGAATACATGATATACATAAATAAATACACACAATAATAGAAGGAGAATGCATGATATACATACATAAATACACACAATAATACAAGGAGAGTACATGATATACATATATAATTACTCACAATAATACAAGGATGAAAGGAATAAAGTTAATCAATGCTTAACAGTTCGTCTTTACACGCTTTGTTTGGTTGTACAGTCAACAAACTATCGCAATGAAGGGACATTAGCATTAAACTTTACTATTTCCTATGCATTATTCAATAGGATTTGGGATCAAATTAGACGTTACTGAAATACTCAAGTGGTATCTGAAAAGAGTTGTCCAGGATACAAAGATCTTGACAAAAGGTAATCCTTTTGCAGAAATGTCTGCTCAGAATGTGAATTAAAACTCACTTAATTTAGTTGCACCCGTTTTATTTACAAACTCAGGATTTGAAAATACCTTTAGTCCGAACTCACTCACTCACAAACTTTGAGACACAATTATTGTACTAAATACAACTACAAATATAGCTATATTGCTATACTCGTATCTACAAAAGTACAAAAACTCATGAACTTTTACCTTATGAAATAACTTCTAGTTCAGTAGACAAAACACTAGGTAAAAGAGTAGAAAATGCTGGCATGAGAATACAAATGTACACTTTAAAGCTGGTGACTCCAAAAATCGTCGCATTTTTCTTTTTCTATAAGCTACGTATTGCCCGCTCGAGATTCTGCCAGAACACTTCTTGACCATCCTGATCATCCGTGTACTCTACATAGGAATCTTGACGCATCAACTCCACAATGTCAGGGGTCAGGTCCTTCACAGGGATGTTCTCCAGTACAACAGCCAGCAGGGTGTTCCGTCCTGTGTAGATACTCTCCATCTTAGCCATCTCCACTTCGTACTTACACCAGTAGCTCTTCAAGAAGTGTCTTGATAGGACAATCACCGTCTTCCTGCTGGATTTCACGGCGTTCAGGATGTTGGCAGCGATAGCTTCCCCAGCGAGAAAGTCTCGGTGATGAATACAGAGCTTTAGACCTTGCATCTCCTCAAGCCTCTGCCTCATGTTCCTAACTACAAGTCCACGGTCCTCATCAGCGTAGGATATGAAGGCATCAAACTCGAACTCCTGTTCCTCCTCTTCTACAGGCAGGTAGCCTCTGTGGCGGTTTCGGGCAACGTAGTAGAGGTACCTCAGTTTCCACCTGTATCTGTACACGATGCTTGTCACGGCAAATGCCAACACCAGCATGATAAGACTGAGCATCCCAATCGCCACCCAAGTGTAGGATGCACAGCTCTTCTCCAGTTCCATTATGATATCTTGTAGGTTGCTCATGTTTTTCTTGCAACCATTTGACCCTGTACACAGTAGGTCTTGAACATTGTATACTCTGCTTCGTTCACTGTCCAGCCACTTCAAGAAGCTCAGTGTCTCACATGTACATTTCCATGGGTTTTTATGAAGTTTCATTTTCAGTCCTTTGCTCCCACTGTCATCAATCTGATTTCTAAAGGTTGCATCAAGCTGTTCAAAGAGATTATCGGAGAGATCTAAAAGTTCCAAGTTTATCAGGTCCCCAATGTTGGCATTCCACGTATTCAAAAAGTTGGACCCAACACTCAAGTACTGAAGATTTTCTAAGCCCCTAAAAACATCTCTTGGAAATGTACTCAGTTTATTATTTGATAGATCCAGATGTTCAAGCTTGAATAGTTTACGAAATGTTTCATTATGTAATGTGTAGCCAAGATAATTGAAGCTTATGTTCAGTATTCTCAAAGATATAAAATCATCAAAGAAGTGTGGGTTTACATAATCACAATAATTGTGTGATCCATCAATGACTTCAAGATGATGAAGCCCAATAACTGGTCCAACCACCCGTGTAAAGAAATTATATGACGCATCAACAAACTTAAGTCTGTTTTCACCAACTTTAATTCTGGGAATGGTGTAACTCAGTTTCGCGTTGCTGAAGTTTGCATATGTTCCTTTCGGAGGAACATTTATGGTGAAATTCCCTGGCCATGGTGGGTCACCAGTAAAAATATCTTCAAGTGGAGAAAAATATTTTTTTATAGAGTTTGATACAGAACTTTCCAAAGCTCGTGAAGTGTCGCCATGAGTCATATGAGGGTTGGCTTCTAAATCCGTGAGGAAAGAATCAAGCTGTACTGAAATTGGATTAGTGTGGGGCATGTGACCCATCGAAGCATCCACAAACTGTAGGTTGGTCATAGATGTTGCTGTTAGAATATACAAACCAAACAAAAACATGTTTTCTCGCAATGAAAGAACTTTCAGGGTTTGTGGCATTAGGACGGGTACTCGAGGATCCACTAATTCTATCCGGTGATCATCCAAATGTAATTCTTCAAGGACCATACCAGACATGTATTTAACGTGTTCCACAGTCACGAGAATGCCGATACCTCGATATCTGTACAGTTTATTGGCTCTTAGAATTTTCAGTGAAGAAGTACGAAGACCGTACAAACTTGCAGAAACCTTGTCAAATCCAAGATCGGAATTTCGGGATATGTCTAACATGTGAATGTTTTGGAGAGGTTCAAATGCGGATTGACCAATATCAGTTATTTCACAATCTATCATGTCTAAGTGTGTTATTCTCTTTAAATAGCGGAATGTTTCATTCAACACGTCCCTCATGTTGCAGTTTCCTCCAATCTTCAGTGTCGTGATGTTGGTGTATTTAAATCCTTCTCCAAACGTTCGATTTCTCAGCCCATCAATGTGAAGTTCCTCAAGGGAAACCAGATCCTGCAAAGTTTCATCTGGGTACTGTAGTAAATAGATTTCTGCTTGTGAATTATCAAGTTCTCCTTCAAATTCTACCGGAGAATTATTTTCCATTTTCAAAACCTTCAGTTTCTTCTGGAACCGGAACAGTCCTTTTGGATAAACACTTTTACACAAGGATAGATGATTATGGCTAAGCACTAGAACGTGTAAACATGTCAGTGCAACAAAATCGTTTCTCCTAAGCATGTAGAGTTTGTTGAATGACACATCCAGGCGTTTTAAAGAGGTATACTTCTTCAGTTGTTTACCAATATTTGTCATTCTGTTATGACTCAGACTCAGCTCTGTGATATTGTATGGGAGGTGACCGGGAACTGATGGTAAGGATCTGTTTGAACAATCCGCAATGATGTCATCCTTTGTTTCAAAACAACTGCAAGGGTGGCAATGAAGTGATGATCCATCTGCTGACACCAGGACCACCATCAGCCACATGGGTATCCCAAGTCCACTCTGAAATTAGTTAATAGTTATCATTGTTAATAGACAGTTTTATATTTCTAACACAATACTAACAATCTAAATCTTGTTAATGAATCACTGTCATATTGTGATGAAATGTATTGTTGACAAAAATGTGAATCCTGCACCATCGGTGGTACCCGTCACAAGCATGTATAAAGGCAACTAAATTGCTCACCTAAAAAAAACACGGGTAATAGTCAAAACAGGGAATTTTCTTAAACGTTTTACAAACCTTACGGAGGCCCTGCATGTTGTGTGTCATGTCATGCATCAAATCTGAAATTGTCAGCCCTATGTCTTCTACAAAACTGTTTAAAAGCTCATCAACGGCCTTGAATGTTGTAACCAGAGTTGTATGGTAGACAATGCGTGTTTGTATTGCGAAACTTGTGCAATGTAGACACTAAAAGCTGGAGCTGATAGAATACTGCTCGACAAAAGAGGAATTTTGAAGACATTTCTCAGTTCTTAAAGAACCACTAAACTTTGTTTTTTGTTACTCTTTTAACCATTACATATGAAAGATTTGTGGTTAGTCTTATGCGGAACACCAAATTTATTATTTAAAAACTTGTGGTTAATTAATACCGAGCGATTAAAAGTGGCCAAAAAGTCGCCTGCTTCCCTCTCGCCCGCCAACGAAACCACAGACAGGTTACGTAACTCTGTTGCCAGAGCACTGCAGTGACGTCATATGAGGAACGATTTTCAGTTAGTTGTATAGAAAGTGTGTAGCACGTTCATCATTTTGATGATTTCTCGACATGAATGACGACATGCCGAATCGTTGCTTTGTCGTCAATTGCTCCTAGGGGTCGGGTGATGGTGTCACCATGCACAGATTTCCACAGGACCCCGCAGTTCGTGCTAAATGGGTTGTTTGTGAGTGCGAAGCGACCGTTGTGGAAGCCTGAAACGATATCTTACTTGTGTTCAGATCGCTTCACGGAAGTTAAAGAATCAAAACTACTTACTAGTTATAGTAAAATATATATATGATTGATGACCATAAAGATTTTCCATAACACAACTTGTAACATAACGATTTCTTCCTCGGAAGTGAGGTTGTGGTCGAAGTAACAATAATATTGTAAGTAGTATTATATTGCCACGAGAGAAATTGTTATGTTATACGCTATGTCATGCAAAATCCTATTGGCCATCAATAAAATACATATTTTACTACCAGTAGAAAGTAGTTTTGATTTTGTAACTCGGTGAAAACAAACCTAAATAGCATTTATCCACAGACTGGCGGATGTTCCCAACAGGGCGCCGCCATTTTTGAAAATCGTGAAGTCTGTTAAAATTAATGAGATTATAGTTTGTTTTCATCAAGTTAGAAAATCAAAACTACTTTCTACTCGTAGTTAAATATGTATTGGAATCATAACCAAAAGGATTTTGCATGACACAACTTATAACATAACGATTTCTTCCACGGAAGCGAGGTTGGGGTCGAAGTCACAATACTGCGCGATAAATTTCTTGCTACATTCACATGGTTAATGTGCGTCTTTATATTTGGTCTTATAATCCTAATTAGTTTATTATCATACTTTTATGCATTTTGAAACTAAATAAAAAGCTGACGATCTGCTGATACTTATAGTGAATTTATAACAGAAAATATCTAGACATTTTATAGTTTACCAATGTGAATCATAATTCGCACACACAACCTAGTGTATGGGATATTTATGGTGAAATTTCGGGGCCACGGTATGTCACCAGTAGAATTATCTTTAAATGGAGAAATATCATGTTTCGTAGAGTTGGTGACATGACAGTGGACACCAGGACCACCACCAGCCACATGGGTATCCCAAGTCCAACTTGAAAGTAGTTATCTTTGTTTATAAATAATTTCTTTGCAGGTATAACTGACAGCTTTCACGGTATAATTCTAACAATGTAAGTCTGTGTTAATGAATCACTATCAAACTGTGATGAAACTTGGTGTTGGTACAAATGTGAATCCTGCACCACCTGTGGCACCCGTCACAAGTATATATAAGGGCAAGTAAATTGCTCACCTGAACAAACTTGGTAATAGTCAAAATAGGGAAATGGATCAATTTGAACGTTTTACAAAGCTCACAGAGGCTTTGCATATTATATTGTGTCATGCATCAAATCTGAAATTGTACTGCGTATGACTTGGCTTAAAATGTTGTTACCAGAGTCGTATGGTATTAAATGCTCGTTTGTATTGTGACATTTGTGTAATGTAGACACTAAAAGCTGGAGCTGATAGATGATTGTTCGAAGACTTGTCTCATTTATTGAATCTCGGAATAGTTTTTGGATCGCTGTGACTCATTTTTCATCGACCTAGATATGAAGCATACTAGGCACTTTAAATGGTTTCATTCTTTTATCAATGTATCCATTGAATACTCGTTATGTTCGGGTGGGAAAATCATTGGATTCATAATTCATATTTTTAAACTTGTATGTAATTATAAAGAGTGCCCTTCCTTGGTTGTATGAAGGATTTGGGTTAATACATTTGTTGAATTTGGCAATACTGAATGTCTCTCTTTTCTAGATCTTTGGAATTCAGCAAGATGAGGCATTGACGGAACTTTCCACATGAAGGTTAAACCAACAGTTGATAGTGCTGATTTCTTCCTTAGTTAAGATACATGCCTTTATTTGATGGTTTTATTTGTAGTAAAGCATAAAGTAGTGATGCTAACATGCAATGGTTATGTTATTAGTTAATTGTTATGGTTGTAGATAGTTATTGGTCTATGTCCCTTGTATGTTTTGTATTGTCAAACATTTCAGGGTTTGGAATACCCTTTCTGGAATGACAAGAGCACTCGTAAAGACCGTAAGGCATAATAGATTCCATGTGCAAGAAGGCACACTTGTATTCAATTTCTATGTCTTCAAAGCCTTCAATAATGTTCATATGGAAAAGTAGTTTGGAAAAATATACATATCGAACTTCCTTGATTGAAACTAAGATTTATAAAACATACATGGGGTTTTAGAAATTAAATTTGATTTGTTCTGTCTCAAAGAAAGGAATGCAGGCAAACCTTCTACAGTGCAACTACTCCTAAACAGCTAAGGATTCTGATCTTAGGGCTAAGGTGATCGTGACTCCATACTTTAATATTGGTCTATTGGTAGTCGTACCACTAAGATCGCTTTGTGGAACGGCACCCAGGTGTCTTGTGGCAAGGTCAACACCACAACCATAACGAGTGAGTGAGTTTAGTTTTACGCCGCTTTTAGCAATATTCCAGTGATATCACGGCAGGCTTCACAGATTGTACCCATGTGGGGAATCGAACCCGGGTCTTCGGCATGACGAGCAAATGATTTAACCACGAGGATATCCCACCACACTACCATAAAGAAGTGTTGTGCACAAGGAACTGAATACTGTATACACTGTGTCATCCTATAATCATTCATCCGTGATCACAATGGGTAAAACCAAGGACTGCAATTGTTTCCTTGCACGAAAGCTACCTTTCCTGTGGTGTAACAAGAGAGTATGCTCGGTTTGTCAGACAATGAAGTGGGGGTTATTTTTGGGTATTACATATCTCGCCATTGTCATTCGCTTCTTTGTTGCCTTCAGACAAGAGGAAGAATATCAGGACAATCTGAAATCCAATGCCTTTTAACAAAAGAACAAGAGAATTCCCCAGTAAGGTTTTTTAGCTTCAATTTGAGTTGAGTATCTCATGGCACATTCCATCACAATGAATACTATTGCGTGGCTACGTCCAAGAAGGGCCTTTTTAATGTCAGATCACATTTATTGCATTTTTAAGGAAATTGAGTTGACTGATAAATTGTGGTGAAATACAGGTTGTAAATAGTAAGTAAAATTATAATCTGGATATGCTAAGTAATAAGGAAGATATTCAAGAGCCTGTACCTTCAAAGCTTTGTTTGTTTGTTGTTTAACGAAATGCTCAGCAATATTCCAGCTATTCGGTTTCCAGCGACGGTTTGTAAATAATCGAGCGTGGACCAGACAGATATCAAACATGAGCATCGATCCATACAACAGTAACACGATGACGATGCGTCAACCAAGTCAACGACTCTGACCACTCGATCCCGTTAGTCGGCTCTTATGATAAGCATGTGCTGCTGATGACCAATTCTAAGCCGAACCTTCAAAGAATGTTGAAGTACTGTTAGATAATTGTGCCCGGACATAGTATTTCAGCGAGCCTGACCACCCCATCCTGTTAGTCGAACCTTGAAAGAGTTTTAAGTTTTAAAGTACTGTTGGAAAATTGTGTCCCGCAGATGGTATTTCGGTTCCACTTCAAAATACGTTTCTCCCCTCTGTGAATTTTCATCACAACATAGGAATGAAATTTCATTGTTAAGCTTAGATCTAGAGATCTAGCCAACGAGAGTGAACCCAAGAATGTGTGAGACTAACAATAAAGATTGAAGTACATAAATTGCAGGTCCTAAACTTAGGGTTTAGTAAACACGTGTATGCTATAAAAGAATTTGCACATGTCAGGCAAACACCAAGTAAAGTAAATGCTAAGTTCAACTACACAACTGTGATAATTCGTCATTTTACTATCCTTTATGGA